TATAAAAAGTGGGCATACTACTGCTATCTGCCTAGAAAGTGTGTCATTAGATAACACTTCTAAAGCACTTAGTGAATGTCCGGCACAAGCTGGCTAAACGTAATTCGTTTTTACTCTGCTTGCACTTGCCCACCGTAGAGCACCACTGTGGTCGGCCCTGACAAATGGGTGCTATTTTTATCCATTACAAGGGGGAACACTTTTTTACAGTATTATCACTTTTCCTCAGCGATCCAACATCCTTTTCACTTAGGTGTTATACACTATCACTTACACAACCAGGACTTTTTTTCCCGTTGAACAAAATCATGAGGGTCACAGGGGAGACAAGAGGGCACAGCATCTGGTACACGAGGGAAGAAGAGTGGAAAGATGAAGGACAGCTCAAGGTCAGGCTGGCCACCCTGGCAACGCCTGACCTCCACGCTGCCCCAGTGTAAGCCCAGCCGTGTCTGGGGAGCCAGGAGGTGGAGACAATGCCATAGGACCTAAAGGTCCAAATAAAGAATAAACAGAACTGAATATAATCAATTCAGTAACAGTCTTAGTGAGTGGCGGAGAGCTGCTTTGTGAAGATGAACAAAATGAATCCAGCTGTCAGATTCTCTGAATAAATGCACAATATCAAAACCATATTTTAAAACAGAACGACTGAAATTCTTTCTCTCTGATTATTTCTTATAATCCACTGAAGTCATAGTTTAATATATCAATTATTCATATAATTTGTTTTTTCCAAGTGCTTTCAGCCCGGTTGAAAAATAAGGGATATATTAGTAACTATACTACGATAAAAAGGCACAGTGAAATTGCTGTTGGAGTTAGGGCAAGACATACATATTCAAGCATTCTGGAATATTCCAGTATCTTGCCAAGTATTGGTGAAACTTGAGTACATGAAAATAGCGGAGGCATCTAATTACTTGCTATGAACCTTGAATATGAGGATCATGTCTCCCATCCAAGTTGTACTTGGTATAAATAAAGGAGACCTTGTCTTCTAAATTTTGGATCATGTCTTTCATTCAGGAATCCAGGTGTGGGCAAATCAGAGAACGAGGGCGAGAGGACAGAAAAGAATTTGCCCACAAAGACAGAACACAGATACCGGTGACGACTCACAGATGCAGCCGCAGACACCACGGACTTCAGGCCTGGAGGCCCAGAGGACCTCATGTGAACAACCGCTGCTGTGTGTTCAGGGCGGATCCCCTCTGTGCTGACATCGCGCTGATTGAGGTGACTGAGCCCCAGGAGACCTGGAATCCGAGGCCTCACCGGCCACCGACTTGTGATGTAAACCCCTGGCCATTCTCGACCTCCCCCTCCCCCAGTGCAAAGTGCAGGGGCGGGAATGCCTTCTGGGGTGCCTTCCAGTAGCCACACTTGGGCACGTCAGTGCGTCCCCTCCTGGCTTGTCACAGGTAGCTTTAATCTGTCACCTCCCCGGAACACACACTGGGCGTGCCGGGAAGCAGGGGTCTAGAGCCCGATGCTTCTCTGGTCTCACCTTTAAATGACCCTGATCCTCACGTCGTCCTCCCCCGTTCCAGCCTCTTCGCCTTGCTTTTTTTTCAGTGATATTTATCCAAGAGCCCACGAAGGTGTGAGTTACAAACCCTGAGACCCAGTGTCTAGACATAAGATTCACGCCACTTGTTGAGGTGTTGTAAACGAGTCACGGGCCCTGGAAGCCAAGGTCTGGGTCAGGCTGTGTGCCCGTCACACCCCCGCTGAGTTCTGTCCCATTAGTTTCCAAACCTACTGTGAAAACTGAGTCTCAGCGGAGGAGACAGCCAAGAGGGGCTAGACAGGCTGGTTATCTGCGTCTAAGGACCGAAATGCTCACATCTGAACAGGCCAAGTACTGGGCGGAGTCCCGACAGGCAGAAGCCCCTGCTTCCAACCAACAGACTCTGTTTTGATTGATGTTTTCATAGACTTACAGAAATGTTTTTAAAAATGAATAAAATATGGGACATAAACACCTGATCTTTAGAAGTGGAAGCAGCATTCCTAATCTGGTGTCTATTTAAAGAAAGTGTTCAAACTTAACAAAAAGAATAGTCTTAAGTAATTTTGACCAAATCTATACTCTTACACACACATCACATGCAAGATTGAAATCTAATAAAACTCTCTCTCATTCAGTAACCGCTAGGTAATGATTCTTAACTAATTAGAATCATCAAGCAATCTAAATTGCGAACAACCCCTAAGTCACAGGTGAAAATATTTTCCAAAATATGAAGCAGGCTTCATTAGACAGACAGCCTTTAAAAAATCAAAAGGTAATTAACTGTTGCGTATGACTGTATTCTGGGGATTACAACTCTATCTTATTCCTCTGAAGTACAGAATCATCTGAATTTTCTGTGATGAGCTGGGCAAGTTCAGAAAGTCTCACTCACACATCATCTACCCCCACACCCCGATTCTTCTCCTGAGCTCAAGACATTGTCATTTTAAATACCGGGGAACAGCTTTTTCTTTAAACAATAATTTTTTTTCTTTATTGACTTTGGAGAGAAAGGGAGAGATGGGAACATCAATTGGCCGCCTCCTGCACGCCCCCCACTGGGGATCAGGCCCTCAACCTGAGCATGTGCCCTGACCGGGAATCGAACCAGCAACCTCCTGGTGCCTGGGTCGATGCTCTAACCCCTGAACACTCCGACGGGGCCAGCTTTATCTTCTTTTATAGGTTATTCAACTACCACAACATACATTTACATTTTCACTGTTACTTTTTGGAACCTGGTAGAACAATCAAAAGTAATTTTCAGTGGTTCCATCTTTTCAGGATTTGGTCGAGCCCCTCACATGCTCAGCAGGCTCCAGTGGGAATGACTTGCCATTCTGAATGAACTACTGCCGCCTGGATGAAGCTGTATGAAAGCATATGTTATTTCCTTCTCGATTTATTTGCTTAGCTGAAGTTATTGGAAATAATCACTTCCATTTTTATGAGATCACTTACCGTGTATTAGTAAGTAAGGCTTAGGTTGCTTAATAGGTTGAGAACTTGCTTCATCGATAACACTTAAAATTTATGAAATGGTCCCTCTATGGCAGGCACACAAATTATCTCATTTAATTTTCACTCCCTTACAAGCCTAGTTCTATTACTTGTCCCTTTTAGATTAAGCAGCCAGCCTTGGGAAAAATCAGCGTTCCCTGGTGAAGAAATAGGGCAGGTTGGAGTCAGTAATAAAAGCGAGCGATACCTAACTCCATACATCTTGTTTCTAAACATTACACAGTGGCGACTCCCACTGCTAAATTCTATTTCTACAAAACTATATTACAAATGGATTTGCAAAGTATATTACACCCCAAGAAAACACACGGTACAGCCTCAGATGCAATACTGAAATGCTGTTTTCTTTGCTGCAGGAAGTTAAACACTGTGGAGGAGGAGGTAGCCTAGGAATAAACCCACTCCCCACTGCCCACACTGGACGTCTCCCAGTGTTTAAAAGGGTGCCGCACAGTTTCCTATAACACGGCAATTCTAATGAGTTATAAATCTAATTTCACCACACAGTAACCATGGAAAAGTCCCATTAAACATGTTAGCTCTTCTGGAGGAATTATAACTTTTGTGCTGCTCAAATAGCAATCTTTTAAAATTAGCAGATCATCATAAAATCCACCTTAAATCTTTTCTGTAAAGCATCATGTCTAAAACAAGCATATGATCAAAACACAGAAGAAATTCTCTGCGTATATCTCCTCTGCAGAATCTACGGCAGATGACCAATCTTGAAAAATTCAACTTCAAATGTAAGCCCTTTATCTTCACTGTAGTTTTCAAAAGAGACCCAACACACATCTTGTTTCTAAACACACACACACACACACACACACACGAAAAATCCCATCCACTAGAGTATTTGCCTACGTTCCCGCAAAGGGCCGGCCAAGGAACAGAGAGGGCGGTGACGTGGGGGGAGACATGGGGCTGCGGAGACGTAGGGGGTTACGTGGGGGGTGACGTGGGGGTGGCGCATGGCTGCGGGGACATGGGGGGAGACACGGGGCTGCGGGGACGTGGGGGATGATGCGGGGCTGCGGGGACGTGGGGGGTGACGCGGGGGAGACGCGGGGATGTGGGGGAGACGCGGGGCTGCGGGGGAGACGCCGGGGAGATGCGGGGTTGCGGGGGGACGCGGGGGAGACGCAGGGCTGCGGGGACGTGGGGGGTGACGTGGGGGCAGACGCGGGGCTGTGGGGACGTGGGGGATGACGTGGGGGAGATGCAGGGCTGCGGGGACGTGGGGGTGACATGGGGGAGACGCGGGGCTGCGGGGATGTGGGGGGTGACGTAGGGGAGACGCGGGGCTGCGGGGACATGGGGGGTGACGTGGGGGCAGACGCGGGGCTGCGGCGACGTGGGGGGTGACGCGGGGAGGCGGGGGGAGGCGGGGGGAGACACAGGGCTGCGGGGACGTGGGGGGAGACGTGGGGGAGACGCGGGGCTGCGGGGGTGACATGGGTCTGCGGGGACGTGGGGGTGACGTGGGGGAGGCGAGGGGCTGCGGGAACGTGGGGGTGACGTGGGGGAGACGCGGGGCTGCGGGGGTGACATGGGTCTGCGGGGACGTGGGGGTGACGTGGGGGAGGCGAGGGGCTGCGGGGACGTGGGGGTGACGTGGGTGGACGCGGGGTGCGGGGATGTGGGGATGCGGGCTGCGGGGATGGGGGGTAACGTGGGGTAGACGCGGGGTGCGGGGACGGGGGGTGACGTGGGGGTGACGTGGGTCTGCGGGGACGTGGGGGTGACATGGGGGAGACGCGCGGCTGTGGGGACGGGGGGTGACGTGGGGGTGACGTGGGGCTGCGGGGACGCGGGGCTGCGGGGACGTGGGGGTGACGCGGGGCAGACGTGGGGTGCGGGGACGTGGGGGGGACGTGGAGGAGATGCGGGGTGCGGGGACGCGGGGGTGACGTGGGGGCACCCGGGCTGCGGGGACGGGGCACAGCGCCGCACGACCTACCCAGCAGCGTGAGGACGCAGGCGAGGATGGCGACCAGCGCCCCGGTGCTGAGGCCGGCGGGCAGCACGTAGGCCTCGGCGTTGCAGGTCTGGGCCGTGCCGTCGGCGTCGCAGTCGCACACGCGGATGGTGAGCGTGTTGGTGCTGCTGAGGGAGGGCGAGCCGCTGTCCACGATGAACACGGGCAGGTAGTACACGGACTGCTCCTGCCTCCGGAAGCCGTTCCTCCGCGTGAGCACCGACGCCGTGTTGTCTGGGGGGAGAGACCGCGTCAGCGCCCGTGGCCTCCGCCCGCCTCCCTGGCCGCCGGCTCGGCCTCCTTGCTGCCCGCAGGGGCCGCCCGCTGACGCTGGCTCATGTCAGTGCCTTTGGGCGACCCCGGCGGGGACAGTTACACCCGCAGAAATGCGGGGAACGTGAGGTTGAACAGGAAAGTGTTTCTCACTTCCACCTGCACCTGCAGCTTTGTAAAAAGTGCGTATAATACACACCGTAACTATCCTGAAGTTCAAACCACACACTTAGAGGATGACAAAGGGGACAGGTTAAGGACGTGAGGAGCATCCTCCGATAGTGTAAGTGAAATTTCAAATGCATTTTTCAACAGATTCCAAGCCTGTCGCAGAAACCTGTGAAATAGGTCATTTCAGTGTCACTTGGACGGAGTACGCACAGCTACTCAAGGAAGGAAGGAATTCTCTCCTAGTTTTTAAAAATCTGTTGGTATCATTACTGAAACTCCATGCACACAGTTTGTGAGTAATGAAATGGGTCACTTGCGTTTAACTTATACCCAAGATTTTATTTCATCTAAACAATTATAGTAAGTATAAAACTTTTAACAGTGATCAATAACTCTATCTCAAAACTGTGATTTCTGTAACTGCAATAGATTTGTTATCTGCTGTCATTGTGTTCAGCTAATTGTCTCAAATAACTAATTAGGGATTTATGTGGTTCTTTACATTTACAGCAATTAATAAAGGAAAAGAAGGAAAACCTGGGACCACAGTTCCATGAAGTATGCTTTAATGTATCTTCCCTTTCCAAGCTGTCAAAAAAGATGTGTATCCAATGCTCAGTGGTTAGAACACCAAACCGAGGGGTCGAGGGTTTGATTCTGGTTGAGGGTTCAATTCTAGTTGAGGGCATGTACCTGGGTTGGAGGTTTGATCCCTAGCCCTGGTTGGGGTCGTGTGGGAGGCAACTAATCAATCTCTTCCTCCCCTTCCCTTCAACTCTGTCTTAAAAAAATTCAGTGGAAAAACATCCTCGGGTGAGGATTAACAAAACAAACAAACAAAAAGAATTAATGTTATTCTAATGAAAAAGAAAGCTGAAACCCTTTCTGTCTCAAAGAGCACAAAACAGCAAAGTCAAGTGAGGCTGCCGAAAATGTCTAACTGGCAAATATAGATACGGCCGGAGTAAAACTTTAATTTTCAGATTCTATCTGGTAGGTTTTTATATAAACAAATCTTATTTTTACATGTACGAATCTGAAAGGTGTTCATTAAAACACTACATATGGAGTTGCTGAAGAATACTGTCTTGAGTGTGCTTCTATACACATAACAATAACACACGTGTGTTCACATGCGTCTGTGTCTTGGCCTCCCATTCAGATGTTATATGTATTTAGGATTTATACACATTGTTAATTAGTAATCTAACATGCCTGATGTCACATAACACGCTCAAACACACAATAAATTTAGGAGCACATGCCCAGTATGGAAGAAGAGAAGCCTATGTTTTGTACGTGCTTCCCAAGATGGAAGACAACACGTTCTCCTTCAAGGCCCAGGGAGGGGGCTCCGGACCCGACTCAGGGAGACCGTTCCACTGTGTCCTACAAACCCAGACTCTAGTGCCCGTGCTGCCCCGCCCTCGTGGTGGTCCTGGACGATGACACTTGGGAGACTCATCGTCTCCTTGGGAAGGTCATCGGTCTCTGCCTTGCGCTGGATCAACACAGATGCTGAGCACGGTGTCCGCCAACCGCGATTAGGTCAGAGCCTGGGACTGCTCACATGGAGAAAGTGCTGCCTTTTCTGTCGCTAAGGGGACAGGACAGTGTTCTCCTCGAGCAGACAAGGGGACCAGGAGAGACTATGATTTCAGACTAAATTTCTGAGGCCGAAGTTGGGTTTTCTGCTCTGAAAGTGGTAGCTTCAGCTCAAAGACTGACGGTGCCCAGCTTCTGACAGTAGGTCTGTTGAGAAAAGCCAGTATCTGACTAGCAAATTGACTTCTACATTTTTTTCTGAAGCCTAGTTCACACATCTATCCAAAAGAATCACATTTTCTACATTGTTGGGAAATACTTTTTTTGATATAGATATTAGTGGCAAATGCTCTTCTCCTAAAATAAATAAGTAATGTAAACCCACATGAATACATAAATTTGAATTTGCACAATATATAGCAGGTTCTCATGCTTAAAGTTCTTATAATTGTCTATATATTGTCTATATGTCTATAATTTTATACATATATTTATGCAAAGCCGGAATTTACTATAGGTGTTTGTAAAAATGTTTCTATAATGACATTGAGGAAACTGATAAGAATTATTACTTTTGAAGAAGAAGAATGGGAATTTGGGATGACAGGAAATTCTTTTCTTTTTGATTTTATATTTCTCTGCATCAGGAATATACTCTTATTATTTACATGGATCACTTATTTTTAGGTGAATATAAAAGAATAACTAAAGATAATATTGACATTATTAAGTCCAAGTTGATTTAGGTTGAAATATGCCAAGTGTAATTAGCATTTTTCTGATGTCTCAAGTTATACCTGTGTAAGATAGTCTTGATTAAGGCATTTAGCTGGCCTTCAATTGATGAGATCATTTAAAGAGCTTGGTAAACAAATAAAGAACCCAATGTCTAGAATAGATGACAGAGAGAGATAGATCTGGCTTCTTCCCTATTTGGATTCAGGCCTAAAATTATTTAAGTAGCAGCTTCTCAGTGACAGCAAATCCATAGATAAAAATTACCTTAGGGGCTTACTGCCCTTTAATTAATGTCCTTGCTGATATTAAAAAAAAAAAAAGTCCATAGTCAGCATTCTTGAGTGAGCAGAAGCACCTGCTTAGAGTCTGGCCTGGCTGCCCCACCATAACAGGGATGACCCCTCACCTTTGTTATCTTTCAGTGAGAAGTTGTGGTTGTTGGTTGCATCAGTGGTTAGGCTGAAATAAAACTGGTGTCCATTGGATGGCTCGTCTTTGTCCACAGCGCTGATTTTCTGGATCACCTGGGCAAGAAGAAGGGAGGCAGGTGGGCATGTTGGCGGGCAGGACAGAGCCGAGCTGCCCCTGAGGATAAGCACCCCTTCCTGAATGAGCTGGGGGTTAGGAGCAGATGTACCAATACGGACCCCAATTGGAAAGAGCTCTGGACACAAACCACGTGGTTTTCAGAACTCGTGTTTGAGTCGTGAACCTCAGAAGTCAGCCGCACTGACTGATTATACCGGCCTGGGAAAGATCGCCAGACCCTGGCCAACGGGGGGGAGTGGAACACACCACCCGAGACTCAACTCCACTTAACTCTCAACACAACATCCGGGCGCTAAGTCTGGCGCTGTCCGTGGGAATCACGTCCCAGTCGCGCGGAATGTGCGCGGAGCCCCCTTTTTGTGAAGGAGGTTAAGCCCTTCGCCGTTCGCCCTGACGTTCATGTTTCCCTTCCTCCCCGAGGGGTTTTCATCCTCCCAATGAAAACACAATTTGAAAATTCCTTCAACACAGGTTTATGCTGCACATCAAAGCGTCGGTTTGGCTGAAACACGCTGATGACATCTGATCTCACAGAAGCGTGGTGCTCAGAGGTGCCTACCTGCCCGGGCTGGGCATTCTCACACACGGTGGTTTCGTAGTCCATGGCGAACTCGGGGGCGTTGTCATTGATGTCGAGGATGGTGATGGTCACGTAGCCTCTTCCTACTTGAGATGGATTCTCTAATCAAGAGGAAAAGCTTGTCATTCACTCTCAGAGGAAAGTGGCCAGTTAGAAGTACTTCCACTCAAACTTTTTAATATGTTTCCTTTTGCTCACGAAACTCATATTAAAAACAGTTAACATCAACTGTCACTGTCCACCTATCTCAAGGAAGAGTCTAATAAGGAAATGGCCAGGCCTCAGATCAAATCCAGAATCATAACATTACAGACGTCAAAGGGAGCGACAGAAACTCAGGTCCAGTGTCACATAGCTGTACCTCTCGGTAGACAGATGTAGTATACCCGTGTAGCTCTTAGTCCCTGATAAGTAGATTGTTGAAAGAATGGCCTATGAACCATGTATTTCAATGTTCTTTGATGCTAGAGCTCATATTTGTTACGAAGACACGCATTTATTATATATGCACATAAAACAATGTATTGTAATTATGCATTGTTCTTTTAATGTTTTTCTTATCAGGGGCTAAAATTCAGCTCATTATCAGCCTATGCAAATCTAGGCTGAAGTACAGAGATCAAGTCACTAATTTTTACCAGCTCTTTGCCCATCTTCACATCAGCATAAATGCAGCCCATGAGACAGGAGTTCTCTGAGGATGGCCAGACCCACCATTTGACAGTCCTCTCTTTTCATTAACTTTTTCATTAACTTTGTATCAGTATATAAAATTAATGAATATAAATATATGTCACAGCTTCTAATGAGGGATTTTCAAGCTTCTGTTCAATTGGAATAGGCACCTAATACTATTGAAGTTGGAGTTACAACTTCATGCCATCCAGTCCCCACTCTGTGTCCTCCACCCTCACTCGGGCTGAAACCTTGCCACTTACGGCTCTCCATCGCAAGGACTGTGATGTTATGGACAGCATTGGTCTCCCGATCCAAAGACTTGGCCGTCGTAATCACGCCACTGTTGGCATCGATGTTGAAGTATCTCTCCAAATCTGTGTTTCTGTCGATTGAATACCTAATTGAACAATAAAAAAAAAAAACCTCAACCTTTATGTCTGATTATGATTTGTTACGTTTACTTCATTAAGTGCATAGCCAATCACCAAGTCCCGCAGACTCCATGATCTGTTACATTAATAACAAATGCTTAGTTTAAACCTAACCGATGGAATACGTGGTTCATAACAAACGCTTAGTTTAAACCTAACCGATGTAATACGTGGTTCTTCACCTGCTTGTCAGGAATCGCTGCTTTTCTGTCAGTACAGAGTGAACACCACTGTGCAGTTGCTTCACAGATGCTCTGGATTTGCCGTTACAAACCTCAAATAATCCCTTTTTATCATTATTATTTTGGCTCCTAAAAACCATTTACAATCGATTTAGCAGCCCTGGTCATGGACATAAGTCCCGCTAAAACGAAACATAAGTAGACACCTTGCCCATTCAATATACTTAGTAACATCTCTTGTGTTGATAACACCAGCCTGATTGTAAACTTATTGAGTGTCCATGTCTCCTTCGAGGTCTGGACCAGGATTCCACAGATAATACTTCAAAGTAGAACCCCTAAAATTGCATGAATGTTTTTGTGTGTAAAAACTTTTCACAAAATATCCACTATCCAGACATTAGTGAAAAATCATTCTGATTGATCTACTTTTTTTGTTCCATACACAAAATTCACTCTGTGCTCATAAATGATGATGTTCAGATTTCATACACAGTCTATCTACTTGGGTAAAGTAAGGGCTCTCATTTAAAAACAAGTAGTTAAACAAATAAACAAACCGATAAAGATTTCATAAACAGTCTATCTACTTGGGTAAAGTAAGGGCTCTCATTTAAAAACAAGTAGTTAAATAAACAAACCGATAAACACACACACACCCAACTTAGGCTAAGCAAGTATTTTATATTTACATAGTAATTCTCAACTATTATCAGATAAGGTCATCTACTGCAAGATGCTCTATTACAAAATGCAAGAAACAGACAGGAAAGAGGAGGCATCAGAAAACATTAGAAAGAAAAATTAACCATAAACCAACAAATATTATTGTTTTTGCGCTGTAATAGGTATTTTGGGGTTGAGAATCTGAGAAAGTTATTTTTTGATGACTTCTATATTCTTTTTTTTTTTTTAACCCTCACCCAAGAATATTTTTTTTTAATTTATCTTCAGATAGAATGGGAGGGGGGAGAGAGAGAAACATCGATGTGAGAGAGACACATCGACTAGTTGCCTCCTGCATGACCCCAACCAGGGCCAGGAACCAAACTACAACTGAGGTATGTGCCCTTGACTGGAATAGAACCTGAGACTCTTTGGTCCACAGGCTGATACTCTGACCACTGAGCCAAACCAGTCAGGGATGGCTTCTATATTTCTTTTTTTTTTTTATCCTCACCCGAGGACATTTTTCCATTCTTTGTTCAGATAGAGTGGGAGGGAGAGAGAGGAACAGAGAGAGAGAGAAACATCGATGTGAAAGGGACACATCGAGTGGTTGCCACCCGCACAACCAACCAGGGCCGGGGACAAACTGCAACCGAGGTACGTGCCCTTAGCGGGAACCGAACCCGGGTCTCTCAGGACCGCAGGCCGACGCTCTAACCGCTGAGCCAAACCGGCCAGGGCGGCTTCTATATTTCTTGATGGCATATGAGACAAGGTTATCAGCTGGGGGAGGAGGGGGAAGAAGATGGTTTGAGGAAGAGAAAGAAGAATGTTTTTAGAATGCACACACACACACCCACACACTCACACTCACACACTCGCACACACCCACACTCACACACATACACACTCACACACACACAGAAGAATACTGGAACAGCTAAGCATTGTGGATTGCATCTTTGAGGGCTGTGGTCATTACTGTGAAACCAGTCATCCTGTTTATCTGTCTTGCTCTGTTCGCGTGCACACATCTGAAGGCGCATAAAGCGCAGAGGGTCGGACTGAACCACTGTGGACAATGGAAGGCGAGAGTGGGGGGGGCAGAGGCCACAAGAGGTGATGACGAAGGCCCGTGCCGTCGAAGTGGGTAAGACAGACCTGGAGAGATAACAGGCAGATACTGAGAAGGTGTTAGCGGCGGCAGCGGGTCACGGGTCTGCATCAGCATGCAGGGCTGCCGCGGAGGGTGGTGGTGGGCAGAGAGAGGGACTCGCAGTGGCTTTTCAACAGCACTCGACGCATGAGAGTTGACAAGCCAAGGAGCGTGTTCATAAGCATCTAGGACTGAACTGGGGCAGGCAATAGATATGACTGGAGTGAAGAATGAAAACATAAGAGACTAACAAGTGCGATGGATCAGTAACTAATCATCATGCCAAGAGGGCTTGGCACGAAGGAACACCATGACCTTGGTACTGAAATCCTCAGCAAATGAGCGTGCTTACTGTACATCTGGGGATTGACAGGGACATGGATGGTTTTGAGCAAAGTCTGATAATGAATTCTACAACACAGTTTGGAATTTTGAAGGAAAAAGAAAGTTAAATAGTTGGATATGGCAATGGCGGTAGGAAATGGATACACTCTTACCTACAGGATTTGTGCTCTGTGGTAAGAGAGACACTAAATAAATCTTCCTTGGGCTTCTCCATACTCCTTCCTTACTATCTTGTATTATAGCTAAGTGACTTTACTCAAATCAAAATAAAATATTCCATTTAAGCTGCCAACCCCACCTCTTCTGACCTCTCGAGAATATCTTCCCTTGGAATCAGATACTTGTCCCCTTATGCAGCTTTATTTGAATCAAAAGCAAATGTTTTCTATTGATAAAAACACACACACCTTTCCTCTATTTGTGGCAAGTTCATCACTGGCCTCCTTCCTGTCAAATTCATTGTTCAGTTCTCTGTTCTGTTCCTACTTCTGTCTCGTCCAAATGGACCACAAATGACCACTCACTCATCCTGAAAACGCATTCTCCTTCTGCCGTGACTGGTAGTAACACACCTTGCCTGTTCTCTCCCATCACCACCTGGCCCTTCTCGGTCCCTGCCTGGCAGAACCTCCTCTTTGTGATCTCAAATTACTTGAACTCTGACATGGGTCCTCTTCTCTTCTCTATATAAACACTTTTTCTTAGCAACTTATACAGTCCGTGGCTTAAAATACCTTCTAGATTTTTACTGCTCCCAAATTTATATAAAATCTCCTTGGCCCACTATACTTATGTATTAAATTACCTGCTTAATGCTGTCACATGGATATACAACATGAAATGAAATGAGACATGTCCAAACAGATGTTATAATTCCTAGTCTCACAAACCACCTCATCCCTCATTCTGGCTCATCTGCGTAAATGTCATCACCAGTCACTTCATGGACAGATTAAAAATCCAGAACTGGTCACTGACTTGGTTTTCCCTCTCAGCCTTGCATACAGCGTCTCAATGACTGCACTTAAGACCTTCAGTCCAAGTGACCACTACATTAGCCCGTTCTGCATTATTTTACCCCTTACCTCCACTCTTACTGCCTACAATCCACTGTCCACACAACAGCTATACAAACAAGGGAGAATACTATTTAATATTACAAATAGACTTTAATTTTCAATTAAATAGACTAGCTAGATTTTCTTCTCTGATATGCTGCATTACGCAAACCATCATGTGTATATGTGTATGTGCATATATGCAAGCAATATACACACATTTTATGTATATTTTATCCAATGGTAATAGGAGAATTGATATTGTTTGACAAAGGATTAAGAGGATTATAACTTAATAACCATGAACTTATGCACCCATTAAGCCTATACTAAAAGCCTCATTTGTTCATTTTTTTTCCCCAGATCACTATGATAATGTTTGCATATTCAGGAGCAAATCGACTTCTAGATTCTAACAAAGTAAAAAGGACTTGAACTTGACAGTATCTGTCTAAAGTTGTTCATTTAATTACCTGCAGAGCTAAAGTCAATGACTAAAACATTTGCCTCTATTATCAACTGTCTCAAAGTTTCCAGGATTAGAATAAAAGACATTTGAGAATTCACTGAATACGTTAAATGTCTCCAACTTCTACTCACCATGTAGAAAAATCCCTAATCTTTTAGAGAACCGTTATCACACAGGCTTCTATGTTTTGAAGAAGAATGGACACTAAAGTTTCCACCATTCTAACAGTATTCATTTCTGTATCATCAACTACGTAGCGTCCACTTAGAAGGTGCGTATTTTTAATAGCTATGATTCTCACAGAGGGCCCCCTAAATCACACAGCCTCATGCATACATATCTGGTCATTTGTGAATTACTGACACCCGGACACTGTTTCTTTATTCATGCAATCAGCAATTATTCTTTAGCACCTGCATGTGACATGCTATCTCAGGAAATACAGTATATAAATAAAATATTTTATAAGCCTAACAACCTATAACAAATATTTAGGAGGAAATACTGCTCCTCCGGAGTCCAATGAAGGAAGTGGGGCAGAGAAGGGGGTGTTGGCTTGCGAGGAGGTGGAAAACGTTGGCAAGAGTACAGACTGCCCAGAACAGCTGTGGTGACCATATCTCTTCATCTCAAAGACCTGGGGTCACCCAGTAATGAAGGGGCCCCTACTGTCTGCCAACCCCCCTGGACATGCAAAGGCTAGTGTTTATGTGGGAGGCATTCGTTAATGTGTGGGGACCCGGGGAAGACAATCCCTTGGCCAAGAAACTGCTTTAGAGAGGGGAGAAATGTCTGAATTAGAACCCGGGGTAGGGGTGTTGACCCGGCCAAGGGAGAAGAAAGGCCCGGAGAAGTGTGGGGGACCCTCTGCAGTGCTGGTCCCCGGCCTCAGGACGGAGAACCGCAGTAGCCTAGGTCGCCGAGACGCTGAACAGGAAAGGAAATGACTGAAGTCCCCGGTTACTCCAGACCCCAGCAGCATCTCCAGCTCCAGCTCAACATGGAAGAGCAGGTTCATCGGCCTTTGCCAAACACTGTTCCTCCTTCTGAAACGTCCTCATTTTGAGAATGTGCTGAGTATTTAAAA